TGTAGGTCCAAGTGTAGGCTCAAGTATAGGCTTCAGAGTCTAAGTCTCTAAGGTGCTGCGAATCTGGCAAATCTGTTGACCTTTAAAATATGCAAAATGCCCTAAAGGCTCCTTGGCTACCACTTTGGTACCCCTGAGAAAACTTGTTCTTTCAAAATTTGATGAAGAGGCTGTGGTTTTCAGAAAAAGAAAGCATCATTTAAAACCAAAGCAAATTGATGTTAAGAATAGTTTAAAAAAGCAGCAACTGTATTTCCCAACGACCTGCCAGCAGCATGGCTAGTCTGTAACTTGACGGTATTTTATGATTTTCTTCTAAATCGTGGAAGTTCCGATTCTGTTATTCAGCTGCCATGGCAAAGTTCTGAGGAAACCTTTGGCCTTGTTGCACACTTGCACAATTGTCTGAACGCGGGAAGGACACAGTCTTGTACGCAACTCTGAAGCATTTATTTAAGTTTAGGTGAGCCTAAGGGAAATACATTACTGAACAGGCAGATCTTTCTTTTTCCTTTCATATGCACTTAAAATATATACTGAAACTAACATTAACATTGTTCTTCCCAATGAGAATGACTTTGAATCGAAAAATAAAAAATATCGACTTTAATCAAGAAAAAATTATAAAATAGAATTTTTAAGGTCGAAGTGAACATCTTTGTATTGGAAATAGTAAGGCAATTCACAACAAATCACTTCTCCACTATTTGGCAGTTAAAACGTTTCATTAGGTCTTGCCAATCATCTCATACAAAGACTCACAGAAGCTGATGCTTTTAAACCTGGCACCCTTAAGAACACAGTTCTTAAAGGAATTCTTATTCCAGATTTTTTGCTTTGACGTACCTCTGACTACTGTTAACAGTTGGGATTGGCGGTTGTTTATGTATTAAGATGAAGGCTGCGGGCTTGGCTTTTCCTATTTGAAGTGTGTGCACTCATCTTCTTGCTCAGGATGTACGCTCCACCTCCCGTAGGGATGCAAGGGAGCTCAGTCCAGCTGTTCTAAGGCAAGAAGCCCAATGATCTCAATGCACACTGCTATGGGATGCTGCTGAGGGCTGGCTTTGCACCAAAATTTCGAAGCAGAAATGTTGCCTCTGCTTTCTACAGTTGCAACACACAAGCTGTCACTTCTGTTCTTTGAACTACGCTCTGCCTCTGACCGTATGCAAAACCAGGGCTAGAAGGAAGTGTGAAACTAAATAAACCTACAAGATTCTGAATCAGAAAACTGAGATTATGAACCGAATGTTTCTGTTTCTCACTGATAGAGCCTCATGCTCTGCATTGTATTAGCTAGCCCTGACTTCAGAGGAAGTTGTGGCATTGGTTTCTGCTGTCACAGTAGCCCGCCCCAAGTAAGAGAGCGAAATCCCATGTTAGCATGAAGTCAAATCAGTTATTCATTTGAACAAAACCAAGGAACAACCAGGCTGCTGAGGAAAGAAGCACAGTTGTGTAGTCTCTGGTGGATCTTGATGCAGTACGGTTAGGTAGTGCCGTCTGTCACAGGGCAAGCATAACTTTTGTGTTCTAGCAAGTCATCTTCAGGATGAGCACACCAGTATTACTAATTTACAGCACTTACATCCATTCACATAAGCTTCCTTTACATACTCTTCTCGTGGGCTCAGTATATGCAGAGGAGCAATCTCCTGTAGCAGTTAACAAGCAAAATGTAATGACTGCAGGCTGTTTGGGGTCACCTTCTGATTTTGTTTGTATCAGATGCACTAAACGTACTTGAGACTACTGACTTCCAAAGAACTGAATGTACGTCTTAAAAGACACTTAATCCTGAGCTTGTCAGTTCAGGCTATGCTGGTGGACGTTTGGAGATGTTCCACTAAAATCACAGAGAGAAGGCTGTGATTTACATATTTTTCTCTGTGCACTTCGTCTTTTCGTTTGTACGGCGTTCTTGTGTGTGTCCTCTGATGTTGGAAAATGTGAGAACCGCTACTGCTGTCAGTAATGTTAACAAGTATGGTGACCAGTGGTAGCCAGGTATTTGCTAATACCAAGAAAGACCCACAGTGTGTCTTAAGTTGAGCACCCCATAACTGAAGTCACTTGAATCGATGCATCATTTTTAACAGTTTTATTTTATCCTGCAGGGAGGAGGTGCAGCGTTTCTGTTTTCCTCACTGAAATACCTGCACCTTCTTTTGTCTCTCAGGATGAGAATGGATTTTAGCTTCCTGTTCAGTCTGGGATGAATCACCTGAGATTTCTAACCAAAGCATGGAAGTTATAATGTTGTCTTTGTTTTATGGTCTTCACTCAGGTGGGAAGCAGAAAAACAGGAGAAATTAGCTTCCTCTAGCCCTTAGGGACCCAGCAGTTAGAGACAACACAAACTGTATTTATAGGAAACCCCGTGAACAGTGCTTTCTTTCTCAGTCTCTGGCTGTATCCAGTATCCTTTTGCTCGTAAGATAACTCCACATTGTTCTCTTTGCATATATTATTTTTTAAAGTTACATATTTAAATTTGAAAAATACCCATAAGTATAAGCTCTGAAATGAAACTGTTAGCTTTCGTTTTCTGGTAACTTTTGTTTTCATCTCTGTGACTTTGTTGCATTCTCCTGCTCTGTTGAAAGCAGTAAGTACTGCTTGAAAACAATATCCGAAGTGGGATAGCAGTAAAATGCAGGAAATCATCTTAGATAGTCACCTTCTGTTGCACTTGGACTAAATTGCCTTATTTATAAGTATCGTTTGTTACAGTAGGTGTTTTAGCTCTTTGCACATAACTGTTTCTTAACTTCATAACTTTCGCATATTGGCAGAATTTTCTCTGTCTCCGTAGTAGACACCACACTTGTGATTAATTCCTAAATGACAGTGAAAATTTAATTTCCACCACTGATATTTAAAAACAGTGAAGTTACAAGCTTGATATCATCTGTGTTTAAAGGCAGAGAGTCACTAACATAGTAAAGAAATGAGTATGAACCATATCTGGAAAACAGTTTCAGCTGTGGGCTCTAGAGAACACGCTTCAGACAACAGGAGTTTTGGATTCCTATGTTAGCGTCCTATGCACGTGCCCTGTACTTTACGAAGTCTTACACCACAAGTACACAGTTCATGGAGTACACACACACACAAATATAAATATATAGGGTATACAGCTGTACCTACATGAAATGCTATATTTAGCTAGTCTGGAGTTCAGAAATTCAAAGATTACCTGGCATAATAATATAAAAAATGAGTTACATCTTTTGCCCCTTATCTTGTGCTTTGTGATTACCTGGCATGTTTTTTGAATTACATTCAAAGTCTTGTTGTTTACTCTCATTCAGGATTGTCTCAGTTGCAGTGTCAAAGCTTTCGCTGGCAATATTCCAGTTAAACATCATCGATCCTTACCATGGCGTGCTACAGTACGGGAGCTTTAATTCAAGCAGTGGATGTGGTATTGGCTTTTAGGTGCCAAAAACTATGGTTACTATGTAATTCTTAGCAAACTACACAGTACTGAATTTATTGCACAACACTCCATACCACAATTATCCTGCAGTAAAATAATACGCAAAAGTCTTGTAGGATATGTTACTTGCAACATTTGCAGCAGCAGGACACTTAATTACAAACAAGTTGCTTGTAAACCTTGAGCATCTTGACTTGTACCTCTTTTTTTTTTTTTTTTCCTTTTTCTCCACAGTTCTGGTATCTCTGCAGGTGGACATGGAACAATTGTTTTGTTTTTCAGAGTTCTTCACTCTCCACCACCTTTTGGGTGGCGGATGCAAACATCACGGGGCTTTCAGTAGTTGGGAAGGCAGAAAAAATGTCGAGTCCTTGACCGGTAAGGTTTGCATACCAACTGCCACCTGGTCGAAGCTTTATCGGTTGTGGAATTTGACGGTGCCACTGAGCTGAAGCAACAAGAACAGAACAGGCTGTATAAACCTCTAGTGAAGTTAGCAATGGAACAACAGAAATCAGTGAATGTGACTGAAAAGTTGCTTCCGATATCCTTGAAGAGAGCAAAGAAGGGTTGTTCCCTGTTTTTAGGGGTCTGTTTCATCAAATATGATAATTTGTGTAGTTTACATTTTGAGTGTTTCTATTGAAGTCTACAGCTGGAATTCCATCCCTGTTCAATTCAATGGCAACGTTTACATGGATTTCACTAAGTCCGAAATATAATAATTTAATCTTTGGAGCCTTGTCCAAGTCTCTTGCAATCAAAACAAAAAACATAAGATAGCATGAACAGAGACGAACAAAATGGACATGTCACTGATCTTGTACTACTCCATCCTCTGGGGCACTTTTCTTCCTGATGTTTTTTTAGTGGTATTTAATTTCAAAGTAGCCATATAGGGATTTTGTTTTTGAAGAAAGCTATTACAATTTTTATTTCCTTCTACTACTTGCAACTGGTAACACATTTCCTGTTTTTTTTTAAAGATAGTGAAAAAAATGTAATCCAAAGACGCATATCAGTAATGTAAAAATAACATTCAGCCTGTTCCCATATGAACAAATACCTTAACAATTTTTTAGAAATAATTAGCTATTATATAATACTTAACTGTTACCATTCTGAAAACACTTCAGAAAGGGGAACATTTGAAAAAGAGACTCTTTTTGTTGCTGCCCTGAATTTGTTTCTATTTGAACAATATGCTCATTATTTACTGCACTTTTTTCTTTACATGTGAAGTTGAAGGTATGAGACCACACTTCCAATCCCCCAGCCCCGTCCACTCAAAGTAGCACAAAGAAGAATTATTTCTGTCACTCCCTTTGGTGCATAACACTTGCAGAGTCTTTAGAAAAACTATGGTTGCAATCAGGAAGCATTTTTTACTTTCTATCTTTTTCCCGTTTGTACCCTGAATCCTTCATATGAAAGTTTAATTTATGTCTTGCAACGTTTAAATACTTAAGGAATTAGTTTTCGTTTTATGAGACCTTTTTTTGATCAGACTCTGCCCAGCCCCTGCTTGAATGTTGCATTGCTATTGCCTGTGTCACCACGAGGTGGCAGAAAACTGACAGAGATTCACTGATGACTGGTTATCCCTGATAATTAAGTAGGTTTTTTAAAAAGATGAGAAATACAAGGTTGAAAACCTGGCGGGTTTTTTGTTGTGTTTGTTTTTTCCCCTTTGAGGTGATGGCTATAATCCAGCAGTTTCTCGAATGTTTTCCGTTTTATAATGCTGCTTAAGTGATCAAAGTACTTTGTTGCTATAGATAAATTGTCTTAACGATTGCATCTGGCAGAGATACAGAGTAATTAAATGATGTGCTGTAGTTCTTGAACTGGCCTGGAGCCTTTGCTTTCCTCCCTAGCCAATACGTACCGTATATGTCAAGCCTCGCAGTGCAAGAGACGATGCCGGCTTCGTTCTTTGCAGACAAGGTGTACCAGCCAGCGTCTGCTTTCTTGGCAGGTTGAATGAGGAGGCATACGTACCCTGTCGTATCTTGATGCATGCTAGGAAAACAAGTGGTTTGGAATTAGTATTTCTTAAGAGCCTATCAACTTTGAGATTTTATAATCTGTACATTAAATATGCAATAGGTGAGTTAGTACATATGCTTTCAGTACGGCCTCGACCAATGATCAGAGTAGCTGGAATCTCTTCTTGCTTCTCTGAGTTTTGCAAAGCCACGATGTGATCGTGTGAGTGGAGTTGTTGCTCTATGTGTGTTAATACTGGAATTGTTTATTGAATTCCAATTAACTAAACCCATGCGAAGCTGGGGTTGGTCTCTTCTGCCAAGTAACAAGTGATAGGATGAGAGGAAACAGCCTCAAGTTGCACCAGGGGAGGTTTAGTTTGGACATTAGAAGAAAATTCTGCACAGAACAGGTTATCAGGCACTGGAACAGGCTGCCCAGGGCAGTGGTGGAGTCACCATCCCCAGGGGGATTTGAAAGCCAGGTAGATGTGGTGCTCAGACATGTGGGTTAATGGTGGGCCTGGCAGTGCTGCGTCTTAACACTTGGGCTCCATGATCTTAAAGGTCTTTTCCAGCCTAAAGAGTTCTATGATTCTATGACTGGCTGAAAGAGCAGAGGTGTTACAAGGCTGATGTTAGCTCCTGGCATCATGAGGTGTGGAAGGTTTCCCTTAGTCATTCCTCTCCTGAGCTGAACCAAAAACTTGCTTTCTAAGCTTCTATGAAACAACTGGAAATGAAGCATTTTAGGGCAGGTGTTCATTTTCCATTAACTGCAGTGTTTGCATGTGCATAACCATAAATCCTGTGAAAGTACTGGCACTTGAAATAAATCCTTGCTCAATATGCCTAGAAGCAGAGGAATAAAGATTAGAGGCTAGAGAAGATCAAAGAAGGACAGCAGCCTTGGGAGTGGGGACACGGAGATCACAGAAAGATTTTTTTCAAGGCCGTGTTGGGTGGTGATAGGTGCGCGTTGGTAACAAGTGCTGCCGCAGGGCCAGGCTTCCTTGCAGGCGGCTTGCAGGGTGCGCGTGTGAAAACGTGCTGCTGCTTGAAGTTGATCTCAGAGGTTCAGTGACTGCATCAAATCGTTAGTTGGAGCCAAGTGAAATAAAGTATTAAAAAACAGGTTTATGCTGAAGTAGAAGTCTTAAAAAATATATGAAAGCAATTAGTTTCTCATTAATTACAGCCAGGCACATTATTTCATCAGGCTTTCTTTTGCAAAAAAGCAGTGATGCTGAACCCAAACACTGTTGTATTTTGTAAGCATGGGATCAGAGTCTTTGCTTGTGCCTCTGTATCTGATACGCTAAACTCTATTATCCCATGCTCTGGGGCATGCAAAACCACGTTCTGACCGTTACCACACAGGTTTTCATGGAAACGATTGGTCCGGCTGCAAGAAGCTCCAAGCACGGGGACGTGGGTACGGTACCTCATCCTCTCTCTGTTCGACGGGATCGTTTCATTGTCCTTCTTCCAGTAAAATATGGGTGGTGGCATTCCCACAACCCTGCATTCTAATCTAACGGGGTACCCTTCAGGAACACCACAGTTCTGAAGCTTCTCCAGAAACATGGGGGCTTTTTTTACTTCCTTTGCTGGAAAAAGAAAAACGAATACTGAGCAATGAGTGTTTTTATTTTTTGTTTATCTTTGAACAGTATGGAAGAACACGACGAAAATTAGTTGTGCAATATCAAAATATGTAGTGAATTTTAATAGGATATTGGAAGGAAAGTGAAATGCCATGATGTAGCCTCCGTAAGGGAACATAAAGAAAAAAAAAAGGGCAGAATTGTTGTTCTTTAAAGAGCATGGGCCTATCTAATGGGTCTAAACATACTACCATTGCAGGAAATTAATGCCAGATCTGTGAATTTCAATATCTCACATCTTGTAAGGCATTGTTAAAGAACAGTACGCACCTTTGTATTTTTCTATTTTAAAATATTTTTAAACTGATAAAATTGGGACTGAAATCTGGGAGACCTCAACACATACTGCGAATTCAAACCCTAAGGACTTTCTGGAGACAAAATGCAGAATATCGTTTTGTCAAGGCAAGAGATGTAAAGTGATGATGAGACAGAATTCTTACAGCCCTTTGTTAGTGCCTTTCCTTCTATCGGATGAGTTTTATAGCTGTTGAACTCTCCTACTATCAGTGGATTAACTATTTATTTGTACTTGTCTATAGGGAAACTAAGTAAGATAAGTTTGAAGAAGCACACACAAATAATTTCATCATCGTGACTACTTTTTCAATGATTCTTACCTACAACAGTGAGCTCCAGACTAAATGAATTTTGTCCTGTTTTATTAGTGGCAAGGCAGGTGTAAGTTCCAGCGTCGTTTTGTGAGAGGGGATCGATAAGTAGAGAGTGAACTCCTGTCTCTCGGACCAGCATCTTGTGGGTGCCGTCCGGTAGCACAGGTTTGCCGTTCAGCAGCCACGTCAGGTCTGGAGTTGGTAACCCGCTCACCTAACGGACAGGGAAACAGCTAGAGACTGGTGTCAAACTGAAAAATAGGTTGTAGTCAATTCATAGGTAAGCCTTCTTTCAGCTGCCTTCTGAATAATGTCAGAATCTAGAACAGAAATATAATTTTTTTTTTTTATGTCTCAGCTTCTGTTTTTTTCTGCTGATTAGCTCCAAGAGGGAGAAAAATGAAAAACAAAACAACAAAATCCCAAGAGAAACAAATACATGAAATGCCTACATCTGCCTTAGAAAGGAAGAAACGTGGTTATATATCAGATTCACAAAAGACTCCTAGTAATCTGCTAGTTATCTCTCTTATATTTTAGCCCTGAGGATAAGTCAAAGCCATGGATCTAAACCGCTACGGAGATTAATAGAGATGAAAAAGAGTTTTATACAAATGACTTTGTATTTCGTAAAATTTGGTGAAGAATGATGTAGTTCTTTGTAGCTGTTAAACTTCCATGCTTTAGATTAAATATTTTTTAGAAAGATTAATAGACTGTACAATAGTCTTAAAGATCCTTCCAACAGACAGGAGTACTTACTCATGCCCAAAATATTGCTTTCCAAGCAATGTTGTACAGACCAAAGAGAGTGGGAAGTGGAACTTGCCTGAACGAGGACTGTGCAATACCAGACATGCTTTAAGGCTTCACATGCTCTGCCAGGAGAGCAGAGCTAAGAATAGCTAAATTATTTGGCATGCCCCCTAGTAAACTCTACGTCGTAAATTAAGTCCTAATGAGTCTTGTTGATCTTCAAGGCATTAACTTCTCCTTCAGAACTTCTACCCTCTTCAGGGTGGGAGATGTTCTGGAGCACAGAAGAGGTCCATACCAGCACTACTGCCTTTGCTGTGCTACTGGGACGCAGGAGGACTACCGAACTGTGTTGGAGCAGATGAGTGTTTTAAAGCTGTTCGATCACAGGATGTTTGCTGTGGGCTCTCTGACCTCTGACAAGTCTCTTGTGTGTGGGTTTGAATCTGTGAAGGGGGTTGTTCCTGCATCTGTGTGTGCTGGGGAAGCATGGAATGAACTGGGCTCTGTTCCCTCTTTTCAGGGAGTATTAATCTTCAGTAATTCAGTCCAGTTCAGTGGGAACATTTGTTTGAAGAGAACCCAACATGCTGAATCCTCTCTTTCTCGTGGCTGGATTATGTTCAAGAATCTGATAACGGAGCAGAAGGACCTGTCAGTCCCAAATGAACTTCTGGAGTCCAGACTGGCGAGGGACATGGTGAACGTATCTAGTAATTTGAACAACCTCGTTAAATGAGACTTCTATTTCTGTGTTTTCCGTGTTCTTCATTCCATATAGCATGTGTTGAAAAGAAATCCCCTGAATCAGCTCAGACACAACAGTGGCACGAAATAATTTTAAAAAATGAAGCATTAAAACATCAGAAGTGTTCGTGTGTGCAGTAAAGAACATGCAAACACCTAGCAGTACATGTGCAGAGGTACAGAACGTGAGAATAAGCAGAGGAAGTAGTTAATACCTTACAGTCCAACCTGCAAAGGCGCCCTTCGTGTGCTACCATGTCACCTGGAGCCTGTAGAAAGTACGGCCTGAAAAAGCGTTCTTGAACTGCCTCTTTGTCTCCTTCTGGCACCCTGGGCCGTGCTCTGTAACACAAAAGTGGGATGTGCATATTTGAAAGTCAAGGAGTTTTTTTTCCCTAATACTGAAAGGAAGAAATTGAGGAAAAGGATGAACAAATAGCTTGAGTTAAATAAAAGAGCAAAAAGAAATGGACTGCTTGTAATTTAATAGTTGCACATGGTCCATTTAGAAAGATTATCAGACTAACTATATTGCACAATATCGTGGGGTTCCCAAGCTGTACTTCACTTCTTTTTGCTTTTTTTTGGCCAGGTTTCGTCTTGCTGGTCCATCCCTTGCCTTTAACTCCACTGCAGCAGGTAAATGAAATAATACTTAAGCCTCCTTGTATTTGAAGATGACCTTCAAAAATATCACATTCTCAAAGCGACGTGTTGGGAGGGAGCTGCTGCTATTATTTCCAGTTTTTGGTTGAGAACTGAAATACAGCAGCTCATTATTTTGAATGCCTTCAGTAAGAAGTGTAAAGTGGTTCCAAAGGACTCATCTTTTCTTTTACCTGTGAGGCTGAACCGTTGATATTCGGCCCCGAACGGGGATGCTCTGCACCATCAGGTGGCCTGAACAACTGATTCTGCCCTGCAGGACACAGTGGAAACAGAATTGATAGTTGGTTGATAGTGTGTTTCATTCTGAAGTATAAATGTTGAACATTTACAACACAGTAGGAATTATTTTTGTGAAGTAAGTGAACCATAGTAGAAAGTGAAAAGTAGGTGGGCTGAAATATAACTCAGAAAAAGGACAGAATTCAAACTGCAAAACTCGCACACAGGTGAAGGCAATGGTACTGGGGGTGAGACTATTTGCAGATCCACGTATTTGCACCCTAGATAAAGAAAAATTGTGTCTGGTAACACCTCCAAATGGAATGTAACTAATTGTTTCCCCTTGCTCTGTTCTTTTCACCTGAAATACCATGTCCATCATGTCACCACATCTCAAAAAGCGTCTGTCTGCAACAGAGCAGGGGGTCAGAAGATAGGGCAGGAGTTATAGTGTGAAAAAATGTCCTTAACGCGTGTGGCTGGGATGTGTGAGAATAAGGGAGAGGTTTCATCATTCTTCATGACATGGTTTCCTCTCCTGCCCACTGAAGCATCTGATTTTTGATACAGTCACCCCTCGATGTCCGATGAGAGGCCCAGTGTGTGTTCCTATTAAGATATATTGGCAAAAGATGAAACAAGTGTTCTTTGTGGAGGAAAATAAAACACCTTACTTGTGGGTTTGCAGCCATAATCGTATAGTTGCCATCATCATCATTAGCAGAAGCTTCAATATGTAAAGAACACGTTCCATCTTCTTCTCTGTTCATTTTGAAATGCGTGTTTTTCTTTGAAATCTGCTTTCCATCCTTGAACCAGTACACCTGTAGTGGTCAGAACCCCCCCCACCAGTGACTTAACACTTGCTCTGTAGTGGAACAGTGACTAGAAAAAACGTAGATAAGAGCATGACATAAATTGGTCAACTGCTAGTAAAAATTTTAGAATGTTATAGAACTTAGCTATGGACACATTACTGGTTAGGTCAGTTCTCATCTGTCTGATAAGTTAATTTTGGGGGGGGTTTATGAAGTTCTGTTTCTCCCGGAGTTGGCTGGTGGTGAGGCAGTCCCTAAAGCACACCAAGGCCTGATACATGCTTGGGAGCAGATGCTATTGTTTTAGAAATCAGGGGGTAAATTATTTAGTTTAGAGCTCTCTCTCCACACAACCATGTTCTTAGGAGTGAGACTTGCCAGAGGGAGGTATAGAAAATAGCAGGTAGTCAATTTTTATTCCTTTACTGCTAACAGTGAGAATGACTTACCTTGGGAACGGGTATCCCAACTATTTTGCAAGTGAATGTGATAGGAGATCCTTCCATTACCCGAAAATGCTTGAGTCTCTTATCAAAGATCGGCGCTATGTATTTGCCTGTGGGGATTTCCTCGTGTTGGATTTCGTCGTCCGATTCATCCACCGGTGTACGCTCAAGGCGAAATTCTATTTCGTTCATCAGCCTCTGCTCAAAGCTTGAAATCCTGTACTCCTGTGGAGGCAGAGAGGGCTTTGCGGTCATTTGCACTTTTAGACAATTTCTAAAATGCGTGAAAATAAAAAAGCTGGCCTAAACTGGGATGTATTGAAGCAGTCTGGATCTGGTCTGCAGACCCAGATTCTCAATGTGTCTCACATTTGCGGGATGTAACTAATACAACTGAGATTTTTCAAAGGCAGCTAAAAATCCAAACATGTAATTCCTCTAAGTCTTCATGAAAAAAGTTGTTCTCTTACACACCGTTGAGCAAGAAAGATCATGAAAACGTGCCAAATTCTTGAGGATTTTGTGTTCAAATTTTAGTCACCTGCTATATATATAAAGGAATACTGCTGTATATTTCAAATCAGAGTAAGTAAGGAAAACTATTTTCAGAGTAATTTACCTCCAGGTTAAAACCTGACCAGGTTTCCAGCTGGTGTAACTGAGAAAGCAAAACATATGGCCTTTAAATCCTGAGATGATTAAACAGACGATGCAAGAAAACCGGTATATTCCTATATAAATTACCATCTCTGAGAGCAGGCTTACGGATTTTTCTACTTTTGTGGCAAGCTTGAATCTTCAAAATCTCACTTGAGTCCGTTGGATAGTGCTATTATGGTGGGGATTGTTGCCTTGTTATAGGAAAGAAATGATCTCTTGCTTGGAGGAGAAATACCTGAGCAATTCCAAAAGTGCAATTTTCATTTTTTAAGTAGAGTTTTAGAAACTGGTGAACAGTAAATAAGGACGTAGCCTATCCTTTTGCTGAAATATTCCGTTTGTTGAAAAAACGAGGTTCCGAAAATGCACCTTGTCTGAAATCTTATGGAAAGTTAATTCAAGAATCAGCAAAGATCCCAAGTCCCTGGGACTTAGATCCCTGGTCGTTTGGCCATTCCATCGTGCTGCTGATTATGCTCTTGACCAGTAGTTCCCAAATGGTAAGGAGTGAAGATGGGAGAGGCAGCACAACGTTTTACCTGAAGAAACATTCTCATTTCTTCTGCACAGGCTTGGAGCGGTGCCAATAATTACAAGGTAATGAGAGTGCTCGTGGGGATGTTTCAGGATACCTTCCTTACCTTTTAACACCCTTCCTCCACTCTGCAGGTGCAGCTCCAGGAGGAGCTTTAGAGCTTGTGACTCTGTGGAAGTGTGGGAGACCTGTGCCAAGGCGTGGGAGCCACTGGCTGGTGCCAGCCCCTTTGTCAGGTTGGCTTTATCTGTTCTGTGGGCTAGCCAGCAGCTGATGATCAGCAAACAGCCCTATAAAGTTTCATCTTGCTGTACTTCTTCTCCCTTCATGCCGTGTGTCTTAACAAATCACTTGAATAGATGGAATTCTATTCTGTTAAGCCAGTGTAAAACGACATTCTCTAATTCCTGACCAACCAAAGCTATCATTTTTCCATTTAAACGGCGAGAGCTGGTTATAATGCCCCAAGGGGAAGTTAAGCAATCGATCTTTTACCCTTGATACTGAGAAAAGGCCTGTTTTAGGAAGCAAGAATCAAGTACAAATCAGGGAGTCACCACTATGTTCTAAGAAGCAGCCATGTCACTGACATGTACCACTGTCATATTTAATTTCTAGAGTCTCCTTTAAACTGAGGAATTCAAACCTAATACTTCGGTGCAAGCAATGTACTGAAGAACGTATCTGGAGTTTTGTTTTCCTTCCTTTTTTCTCCCAGAGCTTTCAATAGTTTCTTTTGTGTTGTTCAGGTAGTTCCTGGCAGCAGAGGGCAAAAACGTGTGCCAAAAACCCCAGCCTACTGAGAAAGGGTTACCTTGAGCATCTGAATTTTCCATTAGGACCTGAAGATAATATACATAATTCTTCTAAAAATTAAATTGGTTTCTGGGTTTTCACATGCTGTGTGGCCTTTGGAGATGTGGAAGCTTATTAAGGATTAATTAAGGCAGGGATAATCTCTTTCTCTCCTTCCCATTCTATCATCTAAAGATTTGTCACACGAGTAAAGGTCCAAGTAGCATAGCAAGTATGGTAAATATTAAAATTGCTAATGACTAGAATAATGTTTGAAATTAAAAAGGCAGTATTGTACTTTTAATACACACTCAGCTGTACAGTTGAAGATGAGGGAATCATTGCTTGGTCGCTGAAGTGACTTTTTCCCTAGCAGAGGGAAGTAGCGGGGCTGGGAAGGCATTACCGCTAGGCTTTCAAGTCATCATGGTAATGAGTAAGGTGTTGACTCCAGAGCAAACTGCTACAGCGGGGGGTTAAGAGGCAATGAAATACTACCAGCTAATGGGAGAGTCTACTACTGGGTACAGAGAGCTGAGTTCAGTCAGCATTTTTTCATGCTTGGTTGTTGGTTTTTTTCAGATTCATTGCTGTCCAAAAGAAATTGTGGTACGTAACAAGAAATTATTAGCGTAGGGTTGCTGAGGCGTGATGAGCTACAGATGAAAGCAAACAGTGCTGACAGAGACAATTAACAACTTTTATTTCCTCTGCTCCACGGGTTTGTCCTAAGTTGTCCAACCACCTAACATAAATTAAACTTAGAGCAATTATTTTCAAACTGTCTTTAACCTACTATTTCTTGCCTCTGTTTTAGATTAAAAAAATTTTCTGTGAACACAGCGTATCCTTTTCTTCCCTGACTGATGTGCTGAAGATGCTTTTCACAAACTTTACTTCTCTAAGAAATATGGGGAGCTTCTCCTTTTCTGTTTGTGAAAGAAAATAGGAGAGAGGAAGGAATGGATTTCATGGAGCTGCCTTGAAGTTAATCATGTACAGGTTTTCTCTCACATTTCTTGAGTGCATGTGACTGGTGTGCACACACAGGAAAAGCTATAAAATTATCAGAATAAACGCACATTGCAGTCTTGGAGCTTTTTGCTTATTTGTTAGATTTTCTTCTGGGATTAGCAAGAACAGAAAATAGTTGTTACTATGACTTTCTCAAGAACTCTTTTTATCACATGAGCCATAAAACTATTTCTGAATGTGGTTACATATGTGGAGTAGGGCAAAGTGATTGTGGTTCAGATGAGTATTTCGTAAAGTGTCACACAAAGAACAAGTTGATGTAATAACTGGGTACAATGTTAAAACTAGGCTGCAGCTCAGTACGCTGAGGAGACTAAGGGTGACAGTAACAATGGTCAAGCTCTGGGTTTGGGTGAAAAAAGTAGGGTTCCAGCTGCTTTTTGGCACCTCACTTGGAACACAAAGTTTTTACAGGCAGGAATTCACATGCTTGTTAATATAGTAGCCAGATATTTAAAACTGTGCTATCTCCCAGCCAGAAAACTCTAGAAATCAAGCTCCTTTCTGGAGGTTCAAGGTTCTGTATAAATTAGGTTATATGTAATAATTGTGCTTGTACATGTTAACAGTTAGTAGAAGCTTATAGCGTCAAAATAGTCTGACATTAGCCTGGTAACATGTGGAAATTACCACAAGTAGAATGGCTAGAGGAACTCTATTTGAATTTTTGATCCTCTTATACTGTGTAGAAACATAATTCTTTTTGCCATTCATTGTCACCTCCAGGCAAATTTCCTGATTTAATCCCAGTTTTGTAGCTTTTACTAGATTGGCTTTTTGGCAGAGTTATTCTAAATCCAATTAACAGTTTATCTAAAGAAACTGGCATATGCTGTATCTCATCATCTGTTTCCAAGCTGTAATGCTTCTTGGCTTCAAAATCTAATCTAGGCTACTCTGACAGAAATCTTGTTTAGTTTGTATTCTCTCTCCTTCCCCCCCCACACCCTCCTTTAGGAGTGAGAATAAAAACCCAGCAGATACCAACATGCATGCTTTTCTTCACTTGAAGAGATATCACTCAAGTGGCTCATTTCTTACAGATGAATTATGTTGGGCTGTCTTAACATGGCACAAGGCACGAATATTATCCTAACATGAACACAAACCCTCAAGGAGTTTAGCAATTCATCTGTGGGACACAGCTGAATAATTTCCAAAATACACTTCAGCTCTAAGTGATTGAGCAAGAGGAAAACAGAGGAGAAAGCAAATGAGGTTTGCATCACCAGACTCAGGTACTTAACTCTCATTCCTTTATTTTTCTTACTGTACAGGATTTGAGGTTTAATTATCTCTTCTTTCTATTTTATATTATTTGTACGGCAAAGGTTTTGGGAAATAATATCATTAATTTTTAAGTTTTGCCTATGAAGCTAAATTTCCTCTTTTTATAGCCATAGAATCATGGAATCATTTTGGTTGGAAAGGACTTTTAGGATCATAGAGTCCAAGCCTGTAAATGTTTTCAAATACCAGAGTGAAGGAGTCGGTTTGCATTACACGTATTTTTTTCATTCATCAAAATCCCTTCAAATTCTCTGTCTGCCCTTTTCTCCCCACACATCTTTTTTGTTTCAGCATGACATAGTCTAACTGAACTTTACCGAGATATTTTACTTGTAGGGAAGATAAAAAGCCCAGTGGACTAGACTGACAGATTTGGGGAAGTGGAGATAACAGTGGCTGTGCTCTCCTTTCAGCAAAAGGTGCAGTAGCTCAGACACACACTGAGGTTTTGAGACTTGGATGCTTTGCCTGACAGGATTTCAGCCTCAGTCTCCAAGAGGAAGCTTTGAGATCCACAATAATAAAACATTCTAGGGGTGGATATGAGTGGACAGGGAAGTTCTTTTTCTTTCTTGTCCCCTTTCACTTTGCAGAAATACTGAAACATCCACTATAGCAAAGACAAGAATCTAGGCAGTAGAGTGATTCTTGTTGTGTCTCTTGTTCTCTCCAGCACAAACTGGAAGAAAGGATTCTAGTAGCGTCCTCTGTCAGCCCTGACCGTTAAGCCGAAATGCTCTCTGAAATGTCATGCTGAAGGAGAGCCTGATCAAC